CCACAACAAAATAGATGCATTTAATCTAAACTTTTCAAACTTACTAAAACTATGTAACATGACATGAGTAGTAGTACCCCGATATTGAAAGATTTTTTTTTTCCCCTTTACATATTTGAGAGTGTGTGAATGTATGCATATATGTATACGTATGTACATACATATATACACATATTTTATAAGGACATCTTGTATAATGCAACACACCATCAGTGAGTGGTGCTGGGCAGGGGCATGGGATGCTGCGGGGTCCTTAGGGGGCTTCCCCTCCAGACCTGTTTGTCTGCTCTGCCCTACCGCCTTCCTGGCCCACCATTACCACCATCCGCCCCCCTCCCGTTACGGCAGAGCTCTGGTGCCTCTTCAGAGAGAGCAAAATCAGCAGCTTTCACTGACAAACACAGAACAAAAGAATCCTGTGCGTAGTGGCCATCTCAGTAAGGCCACATGGGCACTTCAAAGGAATCCCCCCAAAAAAAAAAAAAAAAGAAATGGCTTTATAACCTTTTCCAGACTGATAGATCTCAATCACTTTGTTTGGCATTTGTTCCTGAATTTCTTTGGATCGCAGCATGATGTCTAGCTTTTGAGGATGTTTTGGTCTACTTCACTTTGTCAGGCAGGTCCTATTTAAGTGATTTCTTGATTGAGAACAGGTGTGGCAATAATCAGGCCTGGGTGTGGCTAGGGAAATTGAACTCAGCTTTCCAAAGAAGTGATGAACCACAGTTAATTTTAACTGCATTTTGTGTTTACTTGTGTTATCTTTGTCTAATATTTAAATTTGTTTGGTGGTCTGAAACATTTAAGTGTGACAAACATGCAAAAGAATAAGAAATCAGGAAGGAGGCAAACACTTTTTCACACCACTATATATATACATATATATACATATATATAAATATATATATATATATATATATATATATATATCAAAAACTTAAGATTTTTGTACAGCATTTCACATACTGAACTACAGCAAATCCAATTTAACAGGCCTTTTTTGTAATGTAACATGTAACATGCAATTGGTCAGTGTTCTTTAAGTAGGCTACTGATGATATCCACAATATGCTCAGAAAAGCATATTGTGATGTAGTTTATCACAACAATAACATCATTAAAGATAGCATATTGGTATTGATATCAGACTAATATCAGCAGAAAATGCTGAATCAGAGGGAAGAAAAAAGAAATCTGATCCTATAACATATCTATTCAGAAATAGCACACAGTCACAGTGTGTTCTGTAATGATGTTTGCTGTGTATTTCTTTCTTTAGGGTAGTAGAGTGTTTAAATTGTATGCCTATTTCAAAGCTTAATTGTATTTTTAAAAAGACATACCAGATCTGTACTGTTATACTCAAAGTTTGAATATTGGTATTGGTACCAGAAAAAAGTGGTATCATGCCATCTCTAGATATTGTCATATTGCCCCCTAGTTAAATATTTCTTGTCTATGGTGAAGTACCTGTTGTAAATGGATCTCTATAGCACCAAAAAGGTCCTGGTATTTGTGCAAGTTATTATAAAGAACGCTTTTTGTTAAGAAAGGACCTCAAATCCAATCAGAGAACCAAGAATAATATCCTTAAAAGTCAACTTTGAATCACTGATCTGATGGCCACTATATCAAATCAAAATGTATGTCCATTGCACTTTTTTACAATGGACGTCATGACGAAGCAGGCCTAGACTCAAAACCCATCCTGCTCTGGTCAACATTAGACAGCAAACAATAACAATGAGATTAAACAAGTTGGGCCTAAACATTAAACAGATGCATTCAGATTAACCAATGAAAACCAGTGACTAAAGTCTATCAATGGTTTTCTAAAAAGACAGACTGGTGGACAGAATTAAATCTGGTGGAATAGCAGTTGATTTAGATAGACTGAGGCAGCTCAAACACAGACCATATCAGACGACTATAAAAGAAGGTTTAACACTCAAACTCCTGTGAATGAGCTGAACAGTAGCTGAACTGAGCCATAGTAGCTAGATGATACGAAAAAAGAACATAAACCAATATATATTGGGTTTCATAGCGAGGTACACTGGATACAGATGGGTGCATCATCAAAGCCAGACCACACAGCCCTACTCATCACAGCCCTCGTCACCAGTAATTCACCAGTAATGACCCAAATCCAATCAGTATTCATCACCCTAATAATATTATATTTCAAAGAGGGAATCACACAGACACACACATACACTCACACACATACCCCAATGGCTAAATCCCACAAAGGCAAATAAGCAATAAAAGTACACAAAATGAGACAATAATGTTCTCTAATGGCACTTAGGAGGCCTCCATTAGTGAATTTGACAATGTCCAGCTTATTGGTCTGACCACTGAAATCACATAACATAAATATGAGTTACATGAGCTGCAAAAAACGTTCTGCAAAGATAAACAGAAGATTCATCTCCCCTAAATGTGTTCCCTTATCAGAATAAAATCTTCATATGTGAAGTCAGTGTACAACAAAACTAATTTTTAACAGGAATGCATTTGCGCAACTACTTTCAATAGCAAAACTGATGACAGAGAGTGCCATGATTTGTGAGTAATGAAAATAGACCATGGTTTTTGGAAGCAATCAACAAGCCAGACTCAACAGGGAAAACTGCATACACTAATTCAATGTAATTATACATGAGGTGATATTTAAATAATGATGCCATGCAACTGCTAATGGATCAGAGCTTCACCTATTTATACATGCATATGGACAATTAGATCCAAGTAGCAAACAATGACCAGTGGCTTTAGATCTGTAGGTCTGCCTTTTAAATACATTTGATTTGATGAAGGAAATTTATGAACTGTGTAGACAAACGCAGGTAAAATACTCACAGAGAACTCTTACTGTAGTTATTCAATGGTTCATGTCAAATTGTATCAGGATTGATTCCCTTGATTTCAAAGCAGTGGTTATAGGAGATGATACAATAGATTTAAAAAAAAATTCTTATTCCCAAATTATCAATTTTGTTTGTCATTGAATTCATTCAAGTGACCTCATTTTGGGAACAGTTTGCATTATTTCCGAACACATATTCCAAACAGAAAGAGACATCTTCTCATTTGTATATTCAGTGACCTCATTACAAGAATAAGGAACCAGGATAAGAGACTTATTTAATTCATTTAGCTTTTAATCATATCCTCAAGTGATATAGGTGACACAGAGCCTTAAAGGCAAAACCTATCCCAAAACTGTTCAAAAGAAAGATCCTGCGACAATTATGAGAGAGTTATTTGCTAAACTTGTGAACATTATGGTTCTTCCTTTATCAGGTACTCAACCTCACTTTTAATGATTCTACTACATATGCGGTGGCTTAGGGCAGTTGCTAACTTAATGAGACTCTCTGAAAGCAGCCGCTCAGTGATAATGGATTTCCCAGTTTCTGTGTTTTAATGCACAGCTGACAGGGGTGTGTGCAGAAGTGTATGTTACACAAGCTGCTCCCGTTTGTATTTGTACTTGGCCAGCATTATATAAGGGGGGGCAGCTCTCCGAGGAGCGAGAGAAGTTTTATTATAGATTCAGCTTGCTTTGCCTCTTTCTTCAGGGCCCAAGTGCTTTACATTTTGGCACTGCTGGCGAAAGCTCAATGATTTATCAGCCAATGCTTGTTAATATATCAAATGTTGCTGTGTTTCTGACAAAATCTGAAAAATGGAGCCAGAACATTGGGTTGTATACAGTGTGGCTAACAACGGATATGGTATATCAGGTTAGAAACGTGCACTCCACTTTTATCTGAGATGAATGACATGAATTAATTGAAGCTCTAAATGGACTGAAGTTCCACAAAGTATAAATCGCCTCCAGCTGTACTTACTGCAAGCTCAACTTTTGCAGATTTCTGCAGCCTGTAGCTACCGGCTCCATATGGGAGCGTTTTGTTCTAATTTCTGACGATTCAGAACTCAGATCTGCCATCAGACCTCCCTAAACCATTTCAGTTTACTACAAAGCCTTAAACGTCATCTGGACGACATCAATGAATCAAAGCAGTCATGAAAACGTCTCCACCAAAAAAAAATCAATGAATTCAATTCAGCCACGTTCAACAGTGTTTTGTTGCTTTGAACACACAGTGTCTAATGATTATGGAGAGTAACAATTTCTCTCAGCAACGATTTGTTGCTGTCAGCAACAAATCATAGCCCCCTGTCAGCCTCTGATCAATATCTGTTATCCCCAGACATGCTCTGGGCAGCGCTCAGACTAGGCAGTGTGAAGGTCTCGTTGCATCTGATTATCAGCAAGACATTTGAGTCACATGCTCAACATTAGTACTTATTTGCGAAGCATGTCACCGAGAACACGTTTGGAGTGCTGACCACTGAACAATTAGGAAGACTTGTATTCTGGCAGGGAGAAGATTTAGTGCTCGTTTTGGCAGCCATTGAAGCTTCTGTTCTGGTGGTGTCTGCTCAAGTTACAGAGTTACTGCCCCGGTGAGAGATTGTTAGGTGCCAACACAAACAGTGCCTCTATTTATCACACTGATTTACTGGTGTCTGGGAGTCCCTGACAAATATCTCAACTCTCTCTGCCAGAATGATCTGAGAGAGAGAGAGAGAGAGAGAGAGAGAGAGAGAGAGAGAGAGAGAGAGAGAGAGAGAAAGAGAGAGAGAGAGAGAGCAGACTTGATAGACTGCCTTTGCTTTAAAAAAAATCAGTTAACATAGTAACTGTCAAATTTGTTTGATTTCTGATTTGCAGTTAATCAGATCAATGCAAATACATACATAAAGTAAACGATACGATAGAAAAAAATACCCCTATATTTTCTCATATTAATATAAAAGTGTTTACTGTAGAAGGACTGACGTGGACATTCTCTTCACCAAGTATATCAATAAACCTTTTTTAAAATGAATGAATGGAAAGTATGTTACTATCCATTTTATACTACACTGAAACCCCGACGTGGAGCACAACCACGAAGTGGACGATCACCAGCACTCACCGTCCCAATTCGGACTCGAGCTCGTAGAAGTCCGCCAGCGTCTCTTTCTTCGAGCCGTCGATCCAGTATTCTGGAGCTGTCCCTGGTCTAGATGTGATCATAGTGACTTTGAGCATGTCAAGCGTCTCGGCTGTATCCGATTGCTTCCTGTTGGGGCTTTGCTACACGGTTTGATTCAGATTCGAGATATGGAGCTGCGACTTGCCTGCCTAAAGATGGGGTACAGAAAACACTGGCTCTAAAGGCAGCCCCCAACCGATAAGCGCTACAGAGGTCTTTGCAGCGTGGGTTTGGTCTGACAGCGATCAAGTTACCTGTAAACGCGAGTCCCTGAGTTGAGCTGCGCTGCTACACACCTCCTAGGTGGACGTTTGTGTGTGAAGTTAGCTTCATTATTCACTGTTCGCGTCGCTCTCCCTCGGAAAGCGAATGTACGGAGCCAGATCAACTCGGCCGCGTTACCAGATTGCCTTCCACTGGGTCTTACTGTCGCCAATGTAACGCGAATTCAAGGGACGTCACATACCACAATTAAACAACTCTTTCTCCATCGCATTAACAGTAGGCTAGCACTCCCATTTTAGCGTCAATAATAATCTTACATTGTGACAAGATGCATGAGATCATTCTCGCCATGTTGCACTAGCAGACCATCCCTCGTTAACTAAATTATTTTATGAGAATTCATTCTTCAAGCATTTTTTCCTCCGAACGTCAAAGAATCAGTACCTTTACTTGACTGGAAACCACAAGGAATTGTGACGTCGCTTTTATGCTTCACTTACATGTCAAAAAGCAAGAAACCTCTTCTAATTAGCAAATTCAGCTACTTTAATTTGGACCCATTCCTGACACTGGCCTTCCACTGCCAACATATTATTTGAATATGATCCATAAAAAGGCTTTGTTAACAGAATGAGCTTTGAAGCAGTTGCACATGAGCTAAGGTCACATGTGCAATGTCAAGCGTCAGATAGAGGGGTATTAAGCTCTAGAGCAGAGGTGTCAAACTCAACCACTAAAGGGGCCACATTAAAAAATCTCAACAAATCTGTAGGCCAGAGAAAAAATGTTCTTATTTTTACTTCATGTTGTGCTGTAGGCCAAACTGGCCATTGTTTATTCAAAATATGCAAACACTTAAGCAGTAAAATACAGGCAGTTGTACACCTTAAAATATTACATGAATACTTGAAATATTCAGAATTTAAATGTCCCCTGGAGCTTGGCCTTTTAAACTTACCTATCTGCTTGAACTAGACACCTGGCATCCTTTCTTTGCTGTAAGTTCATTAAGACTTGGGTTCAGTTTCTGAGCTGATGTTAAGTGTTTATGTTGGTTGAACTGCAGCTAAAATGCAGTTAGTGTGTTTGGTAATATGACTGGTGTAGAATTGTGTAGAACTGTGGTGAAACCACTGTCCCAAAAATTGCTGTTGGGGTAGGAGAGTCAGAGTGCACGTTACATTGCAGTGCATGCTGGGGACTGTAGTGCAGTGCACTGTGAAACGGGCTAATAGTAGTACTGGGCCTTGTGTTTGACACATGGGCTCTAGAGCGTTGGGCTGTGTTGCAGTGGAATTGCGTTCTCTGGAGTGATGGAGCACCATGGAATACCTAGAATGGAGTGGCATTTGTGATCCAGAACTAATCATCCAACATTAGTATCTGACTGCACTAATGCTCTTGTGGATGTATGCCACCAAACCATAGTAACACAGTAACATTCTAACATCCAGTGTAATGCCTTCCAATTAGTGTATAGTCAATATGGAACAAACTCAAATTTACTAATTTAAAAAGAGACATGGGAAAAACAGGTGACTATGCATTTCGGTCATTTGGTCAATTCTTTTTTTCAATTGTTTGTTTTTAAAAATTCAAAATTAAAAAGTGCATCATTGCTTTCCATAGCAGTTTGAGTAAACACCACCAAAAGCAGGTTTAAAGAACAATCCCCCATTTGGAGTCCTAATCCATCCTGGCCTGCATGACTGGACATTCTTTAAGACTCAAGCAGAGCATGACTGCTCCGGAGCTCTCCCACACAGGGAGGCCCATCTGTTCCAAACCTGCTCAGCATCAAATACAAGCTTCATGTTTCCTCAAACACATACACTGCCAGTCCTGAGCTTATCCATCTACTTTCTCACACCTGAGTCAGTCACAGTGACAAGATCTTTTTAATTAAACAAAAAAATAAAAATGACAGTTTAGTTTGGAACATGCCACTGCTGTTGTAAAGACATAGATGTGTCACCTTGTGGTGTGATTTAGTATTCTGTTAAAATTTGCTCTGTGCAGAACAGATGTTTGGGGAATTGACAATACAGATTCCACTTTTGCTCATTCTGATGTGTTACTGAGGCTGGTTAGCTCCTTGAAGTTAAACCATTTATACAATCGATCAATAATTAACAGAGCTGAGAAAAAAAGAAATGTTCATAAATTTATATGACACTGGTGAATTAAGTCTTTCTTTAATAACTATAAACCACCAAAGCTTTTTGTTGTTCTATATATTTTTAGCCATTATAGGATCATGGAAGAAAAATGTAAAACACTGCATATGTAATTTAACTTCGCATATTACAAAAAAGTCAAAAAAAGGCAGTGGGTGCATAAGTGTTTTCTACAGCAAAGCACTCTTGATGTAGGAGAGAAGGCACATGCTCTGGTTGAGGATGGTCTGCATGGAAGTCCATGTCTCCTCCAACAGCTCCAAAACGCTCTCTGCCTCCTCCATGAGAAGAGGCTGCTCAGCAATTAACTGCAGGTGCACCTAAAGTGAAATAAAACAGTTGTCAATAACCACAAGATAAGAACACCTGAATGCATACATAGCTCTATAGTGTTTTAGCACAATATTTTAGAAGAGAAATCTGTTATGTGGCTTTCAAAAACCTATTTTGCCAAATCAAAATATAGGCCCAATATTTAAGGTATATGCATTTATCTATCTGTAATAACAATAAAATTGCAGCTTATTCAAATGATGTTTTGTTGCCACCTACTACCACGTATCACTTATTTTTTTACTAATTTCCTTATCATAAACAGTAGTCACATATAACAAGAACATGGTGATCAGAGGCCATATAGCCTACAAATTTAATTTTTTTGTTTTGTTTGGCAAAAAGCAAATACAGAAAAACCACATAACTTCTGCATAAAAACTCTGTATAATGAAGTTGTTAAAATCTAAATGAACAAGTTTAAATATAAACAAAGTTATTAAGAGTGTGTGGATATGAAATTATATGAAACTAGATGCCTGAAGCATTTATTGTCTCTGATATCTACATCATAAAGTTATTACATGAAACGGTAACAAATATTTTGCCTGACACTTAAAACATTGTTGTGTACAATAATTTTAGACAGGCTTTTGACCTAAAAGCTATTTTTAAACGGTATATGCAGAGTGTTGTAAGGCAAAACAGTACCCAAAAAAAATACTTTTTTTGGTTTTACCACTGTTTTACTATTATCAATACTACTAATAAAAACTCAGAGGACACCAAGTCCATTGGTCATTTTGAACAGAAAATAAAATAACTATATCTGACATCTCAACCCCTAGTTCCCATCACCACCATTGTAAAAAATATTGCTGAGTTGCTAAGTTTCTCTACAATGCACTACTGATTTCACATTAAACCACCCAAAGACTGTTTACATCTCAACAACTGAATTAAGTGAAATTTTGAAGAATTTGTGGGAGGCCTCTTTACATAATCACTAACAAATTGTGATCAATCTTATTTATTACAGGGCCACTGGACATGAAAATCTGGTAGGACTGACCTTGAGGAAGAGTGCAAGGTAGGCCTGAGCCAGGTCAAAGTCTTGCTTCAAAAGCAGCATGCTGCCAATCATCTTGAGGAAGCTCTGCATGACACAAATGTCTCCGCCCATACCTGGTGCCAGGCCTCGCAGCTCTGTGTCAATAGCAGACGGGCCCAACTCCTTCAAGAGCTGCACTGGGCCCTCATCTAGAATACAGAATTTCATCAGGTGAATAGACCATTTACAATATTACAATATTAACATTTTGTGTTTATGGCACCATATATTTTAGCAACAATGGTCCAAAATGTGCATGCAGTACTGTAATTTATACGCCTTACAGAAATTAGTATCTAGCGCTTCTTCAAGCTGGAGGTAGAAACTTGACTTCTGTGCTAATGCTCCCAGGTTAATCACTTTTGACTGTGAAAAAGAAAATAGTGAATTTAGGCTAATGGTAGTAAGTAATGATCAACCCACAAAGCAAGTTCAGACTGACTAACAGTTCTTCAAATTCATTAGAACAAATAAGTCCAAGAAAAAACTGAACAGAAGTGTGTTTACTTGCACTTCTGAGGATGTGTCAGGGAGGGCGAACTGAGGTATGAGCCCTGGAATGGTGGGGATAAAAAAGGGGGCTGCTTTAGGCACATTAGGGGCTTCCTTTGGCTTGTTTTTTGTCTGTTAAAAGAAAGTTCTGTGTTAGTAATTGTGAGAGAATCAAGGCAAGGTAATGAAGCAACAAAGTATACAAATGTTGCTTTACACACAGGAAAAAAACATTCCTTATATACACATACCCTGATGATGTCCAGGTGAAGAAGGTTTTTCCACCGAGAGTCAGACAGCAGAGACAAAGTGACCAGCTGTTCGTCAAGCTGTGCAGGAGACACATACTCTGCCATGTTCAAGGTCTCAGCATCTGTATCCTCCTCTTCATCATCTGCTCAAACATGCCATTAAAACAGATCCCAGCATGTATGATTACAACACTGACTTTGCTGTTGTGTATGAAAGTTAGAATGGAAAATTCCAAATGTAAGAATTGCTGTTGGAATTCCTTGCCTTTACTTGGGCAGGAGCCAGGCAGGATCGCCACAGAAGGTTCATAGTCTGCAGGTAGAGGGCGCAGTGACACCAAACTACACAGTGTGTTGTTGGACCTGGAACATGGAGTTCAGAATGATGCTCAGTCAAACTTGACAGCACAGCTGGTGACACTCTCATTTTCACAACCACAAAGTATCTCTCTGAATCCTAGTTAGTACAATGTTTCAAAAGCACTAAAAGACTTTGGTGACGATTGCACATGCTTAGCCCATCCAAATACCACTATAAAGCAACAAGGTTGAACTATCCATATTCTTCTCATTCATGTGCTAGTTTGCAATATTTGCAATATCATTGCTGGGATCAAGGCCACAAAAGTCAGTTTTGGCCTCAGATTTGGAGGCTTCCTGAATCCATATTAATTCATCAGCAATTTCAGAAATTAAATAGAATGACAAGTTGCAGCCTCTCATAACTGTTAAAAAGTCCCTGGTAAGATAAACACAAAATTTTCAAGCTCCCTATGTACAGTCGATGAAGGTTTTTAGTGCGTTTACTTCCATTTTCCCTTGCATACTGCACTAATGCACACCATCATGGTCACTGATGTGCGCTTTCAACCA